ATATATATATTGTATAGTTATATAAATAACATGCATACACTAACACACGGTGACACAAAAATAACTCTTGGATACATATACTACGCACACTCTATAGGTACAAACATACACATCCCACACACGCGCACGTACAGCACGCACACAAGTTTAAACCCAAATTGCGAGTCGACGCTATACGTAAAGCAAGTCGGCCACATTCCGATTGTGGTTCGAAAGTCAATCCCTTGATCGACGCATAAACACACACACGCACACACATACGCCACACATGCCCTTCCACGGTCACACACACATGCCCGCCATGGTCACTGATGGAGAGTATATTAAGCCATACCTCCAGCAGGCTAGCCACAATATCTGGTTGGTCGGAATTTAATTCTTTAATTGCCACGGGAGAATGTTCGGCACCTTCGTGCAGTAGGCCACCGTACACGACTCCGAAGTTCCCTTTGCCGAGTAGTTCTATTTATAGAATGTAATTAATGTAATTTGGTAGGTATAAGTCCCAAGTGAAGCGTTTGGACAGTAGAGTGTAATTGGGAATTATCTTGGATCGCATACACAAGTGGAAGACAAAAGTCACAAGTATGCATCTATACATTGTAATATATACACTGATCTAATATGTCTATACTGATCTAATATGTCTATACCACACGACACAAGTATGTTTCTATGTTAGTAGGTACACCTACCTAATATTTGTATACCCTTGGGTTTATACACGGTCAGATACACAAATGTATATATGCTTAGTTGCTACATTTACCTAATTTCTCGATACCACAAGATATAAGTATATGTCTAATATATGCATAGTAATGTACACTCACCTAGTTTCTCTATAAACCAGACAAACGTATGAATCTCCGCATAGTACGTACACTCACCTATATTCTCGATACCACAAGAAGCATGTATCTCACTATACATTGTGATGTATGCCCATCTAGTTTCTCTATACACAACCAGAGAAGTATGTATCAAAGCACTGTAATACATTCACACCTAGTTTCTCTATACACAACCAGCGAAGTATGACTCGATGTACTGTAATACATTCACACCTAGTTTTCTATACACAATCAGAGAAGTATGCCTCGATGTACTGTAATACATTCACACCTAGTGTTTCTATACACAATCAGAGAAGTATGTCTCGATTACTGTAATACATACACACCTAGTTTCTCTACACAAAATCAGAGAAGTATGTTTTTATCTACTGTACTACATACACACCTAGTCTTTCTATACCCTCGCGGTTGATAGGACCGAACTTTCTCCGGAAGCTCTCGCGCACTTTCATCGCAGCCGGTGTGTTGATCGGTGTGTCGCTGAATATGGCGGGATGGCGAGAAATAGTCACACGCGTTAAAAATCACACTCGAGTTAAAAAAATTCTCACTTACGTTAAAGAAAAAAATCGCATGACAATCACATAAAGAGAAAATCAATCATACTTGTGTTAAAAATAAACATACCCGTGTTAAAAAGTTCGCACTTGAGTTACAATAGTCACATTTATGTCAAATATTTCACACGTATGTTGTGCACAACCACACTTACATTATAAAAAAAAGGCACTTAGATTAGAAAAAAAAATTGCGGAAAAATAGTAACACTTCGGTACAAACAAGCACACTTATGTTAATATTATGTTCTAGCCGGTTGCTTCCCCGTCCCCTTTGATCCTGACATTTTCACGGATATATATGTCCCATGTACGGATACAAATATATACAAACGTACAGGTACACAAATACAATCGTATCAGTACACACATGCCTGAGTGAGTCTTGACGGGAATGTTCGCAGTGTACCGTCTGTAGCACCATACTTCTCCATCTATTTCGACCACGACACATAGCTGTATGTAGATATAGTACAAATACAAACACCAGTATAAATGCAAATACAAATACAAATACAGATGCAAATACAAAGACAAATACAAATACAAATACAAATACAAATACAAATACAAATACAAATACAAATACAAATACAAATACAAATACAAATACAAATACAAATACAAATACAAATACAAATACACGAATACAAACTTAGAAGTATAGACATACCTGAATGGGCGTTGTGGGAGTGGTCTCAGTGTACCGCCTGTTGAACCATATTTGTCCTCAAACTCTTTAGACCACCTGTCCTCCACTTCGGTTTTCGGCATAAGTGCCGAGTTTGTGGGGCTGGGTATCGGCCGCGGCGACTGCATGGCATAAACATGGTTTATATGGGTGTTTCGAGTTTATAATATTAATAAAAAATATAATTTGTATACTATATATATCCATATATCTAACTAACTAGCTATCTATATATATATATATATACGCAGACACACTCGACACATAACACACACATACGTATAGCACTCACACACACACACGAGCGCACACATACATTTAATCATACATAATTGACTCCACACGAATAAGGATACACACATATCCCCCCCAGCTCTCCCCAAGGCTTATACACGCCCACACACAAAATCTCCAGCATACAGATACACAAATACACATAAACACACCTGTTGCTGACGCATCATGTTGGTAGTGGACTCCACATTGTCTAGTAGGTCCTTCCGCCTCTTGTGTCGGAGGAAGAAGTAGGCCCCTACAGCAGTAACCAAGAGCACTATAACAACCACAACTATACCTACAATGGCCCCCGTAGACATGCCACCGCCTGTGCTCGGCTGTGCATCTGTAGGAAGGCATATGGATGGGTGTCTACAAGTTTATATATATATATATATATATGAGTGTATGTATGTATGCATGTATGTATGTATGTATGTATGTATGTATGTATGTATGTATGTAT